CTTTCTCTCTCTCTCTCTCTGTGTGTGTGTTCTGTTTATCACAGTGTTTACCTCACTGTCACACTCAGCACTCTTCTGTTTTTTTAACCCTTAAATGATCAAGTGAATGAACTTTTAGCCTCAGTTTGTTTCCTCATCAGATCCAAGAAAGAGGAAAACTTTACTTTAGAACATGTTCACTCAGAAAAGTGAACCCTGACTTTAAATGGAACACAGTTTTACAGTTAAATATAAAGTTCAGAATAAGGTAAAGTTCCAGGGTGAAGGTCAGATTAGGGTCAGTAATAAGAGAGGATTTTGTTGTGTTTTAATTAAGATGTATCTTGTTCTGTTACAGCAAATAAACAGTAATGTTATCTAGTACCAGTGTTTCTGCTTTGGCTGTATTCAGATCAGTCTGTGTGTGTGGGGCGGTGACAGTGTTCTATAGAGGAGACAGAGAATGGCACAGAGAGAGAGAGTGCAAAGGGGGTTAGGAGAGTAAGAGAGTAGGGTGAAAAGAGTGAGAGACAGAGAGGGTGAAAGCAGAGAGGGAATTTCTGATGTAGATGTTGTTAAAGTTCACTGTTTTTTAACCTTGTTTAAATCGGAGAATTAATAAGCTCTTATTGAGACTGTCTGTCTGGTGGATCAGTGTAGTTGAGGTGAAGAAGCTGAGAGCTCAGCTCTGTGTGTCTCTGAGGGTCCATGTTAGAGTTTATTACGGTGTAGTACAGATTTAGAGTGGAGGAAGGCGGTGGTGGGATTTTGGAAGGTGCTGAATCAGAACAGGAAACTGGAAATAATCTGTATTAGTATTTAAAATAGTGCAGCTTGAGTTGATGATGTTTGTAAGCTGTAATCCTGCAGCACTTCCCTCAGTGCTGAGAGAACACTGTAGAGAACGACAGGAACGGGGTTAAATTACTCTTTAAATCACCCTGAAAGAGGAACGCTGAGGTGCGTGGGCGTGTTTGTTCCGCAGGATTAGAGTCAGGCTAGTTCAGCAAAGTCCCAAATTCCTCTAAAACGTTAAAATCTGTTTTGAAAAAACATCACAGTTCACTAAGCTTTACTGGCTGACTGTTCAGTGGGATCTCTCTGATCAGTCCGTTCAGTTCTAAACTTCAGATTCTTCTAGTGAATGACCTCGCAAACCTCACGGTGTTGGGAGCCAAAACTACCTTCTGCCTCATCTTGTGTTTGATATTAACAGTGACCTTGGCAGTGATGGTGGCTAAGGTGGCGGTGATGGTGGTGATGTTGGCATTGATGGTGGTGATTGTGGCAGTGATGGTGGTGATGTTGGCAGGTGTGGTGGTGATGTTGGAGGTGATTGTGGTGATGTCAGTGGTAATGGTGGTGATGTTGAATGTGATTTTGGCCATGGTGGTCATTTTGGTGGTGTTGACAATAATGATGATGTTGCAGGTGATGTTGGCAGTGATGGTGATGGTGCTGATGGTAGCAGTGATGGTGGTGATTTAGGAGGTGATTTTGGTGATGTTAGCTGTGATGGTGGTGATGATGGTGATGATGTTAGTGATAATGCTGGCGGAGATATTGATAGTGGTATTAGTGATGATGCTGGCAGAGATGTTGATGATGTCAATGATGTTACTGGTAGAGATGTTGATGAGGATGTCAGTGGTAATGCTGGCCGGGATGTTGATAGTGATGTTGGTGATGATGCTGGCAGAGATGTTGATGGTGATGTCAGTGATGTTGCTGGCAGAGATGTTGGTAAGGATGTTAGAGATGATGCTGGTCGAGATGTTGATGTTAATGTCAGTAATGATGCTGGCGGAGATGTTGATGGTGATGTCAATGATGTTACTGGTAGAGGTGTTGGTGAGCATGTTAGAGATGATGCTGGCAGAGATGTTGATGAGAATGTCAGTGATGATGTTGGTGAAAATGTTGATGAGGATGTCAGTGATGATGTTGGCAGAGATGTTGGTGAGGATGTTAGAGATGATGCTGGAGGAGATATTGATGAGTATGTTAGTGATGATGCTGGTGGAGATGTTGATGGTGATGTCAGGGATGATGCTAGCAGAGATATTGATGTCAGTGATGATGCTGGCGGAGATGTTGATGGTGATGTTTGTGATGATGCTGGAGGAGATGTTGATGTCAGTGATGATACTGGTGGAGATGTTCATGATAATGTCAGTGATGCCTGTTGAGTCAAAACCAAAGATGTATAACAGACTCAGTTGAAAGTGAAACCCAAACTTAGCAAAGCGCCAATAGCGAGTTCCTCACGGTACATTTCTACTTAATTTGAGTTTGATGTTTGGTTGTTTTGCCAAGTGAGATCTTACTGACAGAAGGAAAAGAAAAACATGACCTCTGTGGAAGACGTAACTCTCGCGACCTATTGCGGGAAAGGGGAAAAAAAACAACAAGCTGTATCTGCATTGGAAAATACCGCAGCAAACCCGAGCGCAAAAAAGAACTCTTTCACGTCTGAAAAGTGCAGTTCCAAAGCCGGACGAAGCCATATAGTAGCTCGTGGAAAGAAAAGTGCTGCTGAAGAATTGAGCAAAGAGGAGAAGAAGGAGGAAATCGTGGTGTGAAGAGGAATGCTTCAGCTCATTGTTTAACTGCAAAATGGCACTGGTAGGACTGATCGTAGCCACTAGCAGGGTGTTAAAAAGAAAGTTCATCAAATAAACCTCTGAAAGAAAGCAAACTTTGTGCTTCTTGGGGATGTCGAATGAATATTCAGTATTCAGTAGTGGATACAAGCGCCCTTGTTGCAGTTAGAATATAGGCCTTTTTCAAGTTAGGGCAGGGGTTGAAGAAATAACCCAGATAACTTGCCAATGCCAGCAGAGATGGTGGTGGTGATATCAGTGATGATGCTGGCAGTGATCTTGGTGGTGATGTTGGGAGATGTTGGTGTTAAGCAGTAATGCTGGTGGTGATACTGCTGGTGTAGTTTTTAGTTCCTCTCACCTTCCATATACATCATCAGACAGGGAGTTTTCTATTTTTTAAACTGAAATATATCACTCTAGAGATGCTGCATCATTGCTGTTACAGTATATATGTTTACAGCAGGTGTAGTTGTAGTGGATTGTGATGATATGGCTGTATTTTTCAATTTGGCTGGGGTTTCTTTTTACTGATACCTGAGCAGGTTTCTCTGTATGTTTGAATTTGGCCCCTATGTTCTCAGACTTGTATACTTCAGGGGCCATATTACAGAACATTCTTATCTTTTTGTCTTAACTTAAGATCTGACAGGTCAAGACAAGATTTTTCACAATTCGTATTACAGAAGCAAATCTCATCTTAATTTAAGAATCTTATCTTACAGCATCTTTTCTTATCTCAAGTTAGGAAATCTTAACTTACTCGATTGAAGTCGGCAGTCAACTGTCGTGTCTGTTCCATAGCAACCGACCATACGTGCACAGCTGAAACGTAAATACGTAATCAAGTTAGTTAGCTAGTCAGACAGCTAGCTAACGTGAGCTGCCGTTACTGGTCAAGTAAAACTAAAGCGCAATAAACTGAAAGTTAAGAATATTGTGTCAGCGCTTATTGCTGTTAATCAGAGCGTTGCCGTCTCCACTTTCAGTTTAATTTCCCAAACGCTTTAGCCGAGCGCGCTAACGTTATTCCTTCTGAAAAAACAGACGCACGTTCAGCCCTGTATCCTCATTATTCACCACCATCAGTGTAATATTTTATCTGATGAGTTTTCATCAACAATAACACACAAAGATAATAAAAGGCGATGGCTGCAGTGTCTGGGGCTTTTAAACGCTGTTAGAAAAAAAAAACAAGTCAAAGCAATGTAGATAAATGTAGCATCATTTTACTACTTATAGTGAACTGTGCTGCCTATCACTGTATAAAACAATAGAATCAGACGATTAAAACAGAAGTTAAGACAGCTCCGGGGTTGTCTTGAAGTTAAGAAATATTTAGGATATTTTGGCAACTTTGGATGTTTCTGTAATACGGTTTTCTTATCTGGAAATAAGATAAGATTATAGACTTAAGAACTGTTGTTCTCTAATGGCTTCTGTCCTAACAAAGCAGATCTCAGACAAAAGTTTCTCTAAAAGAACTAAATGGTCACACATGTTCTTACAGGCTAAGATCACAATGATAGCCCAGAAACCAGAGGGACTTTAGAAGAGCTTTAAATTGTTTAGCTGATAATCTCCTGTTGTTTCCTGAAGTAATTATAGATATTCTGTGGTTGTTTAAGGTGGATTTATAGAAGACTTGTGGGCCGTGCATATAAATTACAGTAAACATGATAATCATCAGTTATTAATGCTGACTCAAAAACAGTTAATTATGCTTTTAATCTATTTTTATAACGTTTTAATAAGGAAATTATCTGACAGCTGATTTTTATTTTTTAACATTTTAAACAAAAACATGACCATGAATGTAATCACATTTTGGTGGTCTTTTATTGTTCCTTTGATGAAACTAAAAAAAAATAAGCATTTCCACAGCAATGTGTGTTCAAAAACTGTCGCAGTGAATCAACGGTAAAGGCAGCATGAAGTGATGGAAACACAGCAGTTAAACATACTGATCTGTTTCACACAGACTCTCCAGACTGAAAGTCAAACTTTGTTATAATGGACACTTGATGAGGGTCAACAAGGGGCTTCAGGCCAGGGCCTACATGGGCCTACATGGGCCTACACTCCTTCAGGGAGAGTGAGTGAGTGAGTGAGTGAGTGAGTGAGGGAGTGAGGGAGGGAGGGAGGTTTGCTCTTTTTACACTCATCTGTAATAATACAGTTAACACTTTTTCTTAATTTTCACTAATTTTATGCCTCTTGCATTTTCTAAATACCCACACCATACCCTCCCTGCCTCTCTCTCACTCTCTGTCTCTCTCTTTCTCTCTTCTACTCTCCTTCTCTCTCTCTCCCCCTCCCCCCTTTCTCTCCCCCCTCACTCTTTCTCTCTTCCCCTCCTTCTCCCCCTCCCCCCTTCCCCCCTCCTCTTTGCCACTCTCTCTCTCCCTCTCTGTACAGAAGCTGCATTTGCCTCCTGATTTGTCGGAGACGGTCAGTCGGGTCAGTGAAAGTAAAGCAGAGTGTTCTTCAGGCTGTGGTTCTGCCCCCAGTGGCCATGCGCAGCTCGACTTCTAGAATGTTCTACACCCGTCCAACCGTGTGCGCTGCAGTTCTGTGTGAATGCTGTGATGATGAGCTCAGTGTGAGCACTGGGATCCACTTCCACCGCGCGCCGTCTATTTATTATTTATCCTGCAGGTTATTAAATATCTCTGATTGTTGCACCTGAAAACTGCTGTAATCTTTATTTCTCCACCTTTTTCCTCTGACTGGTAGAGGTGCGTGTAGGAAACACCAAATCTTTCCAGACTTGTTTTGTACTCTGTGTTTTTGAATAAGTAAATGAACCTGATTAACTTCTCTTATTTAATTAATCAGTGTGTGTTTCTGTTATTTGAAGCACAAAATTGTTAATAATTAATTAAAGCAGTGTAGAATTTAAAAACATTCAGTGAATTTTTCACAATCTCTCCATAGTTCAGTGTGTGAGATGTAAACAGAGTGATTCAGAGTGGTTTGGTGTGAAATGGTTCAGATGTCTTTACAGTGGTGGTGATGGGAACCAGGAGTCACCATGACTACAGCACAAATATAGACATTTTATTTACTATCCAAAACCACTAGTGAACCTTCATGTATCTTCTGAGTTTTATATGGAATGTTGATGATGGAAAATAGTAGAAAATCTGAAATAATAAGTTTTCTTCGGGGACTGTTTTGCCTCACAGTGCCCTGCATATTATGTATCTCTCTGCCATAAATGGACAGTCCTCAAAACTGTCGTAACAATGTCTCAGACATCAGGCAATGTATTCATAAGCATTTCATGTAATAACTTTATGTAAGGGAGCTTTTAGAGGTGGATGGTGGATGTCTGGTTTCTATCACCACCACTTTGAACAATTCTGACTTGGCAAGTTTCTCTAGAACAGAGTGTTTCACACTAAACCACTCTGAACCACTCTGTTTACCAAATAAATGAATAAGTAATTTCAAAAATACAGACAAGAAAATCACAAGACAGAAGATCCTGTACAAAATGTTTTCTTTTATATAATTTCCACAAAATACATTTAGAAAGCTTTAAATAAAATTAAATTGAAATATTTCTGTTTTCATTAAGCATTTCTCCAACACATTAAAACTCAGAAATAAACATAGTTATTATAAACACAGAGACGCTCTTTAATCATAAATAAAAGACTTGATTAAACTGCAGTGAGAGACTCAAAGCTGACGAACTACAGCGTAAAACAAGTTTTTCAGCTGTTTTTGTTTTGTTTTTTACAAAAACAACACAAACATACAAAAGAAATAAAAGTGTAATAGATGAAAATGCTTTGGTCTGTTTTTACAATCAGCAGTGGTTCAGTTCTGATATGTACTCGTAAACAGCTGGCAAAACTCGCAAACAATTTTTCCTAATTATTTATTAAGGAATTAAATAGTTAAACCGATTTGAGTGACAGACACTATAATATAACATCTGTTGGTGCTACAACGCGTTCCTGACCTGAAGAAAGGAAAATTTATGATAAAAATCAAAAAGCCAAAAAACATAGAAACAAAGATTATTTTTCAGGGCGAAAGAAACGAGATTTTGAGAATCATTCCGGGGAAGACGAAGTACTTAAACATTTAAACAACAGGATTTTACTTTTACATTAAAGTCAACTTTAATGTTACCAAATAAATGTCTTCTGGCGAAAGTCTTCATGTGATAAAAAAAAAGATTTAATCTGTTTATCTGGAGCAGTCTTTATTTGGTTAAGAAATAAAACCACTCAGTTCAGGCTGACCGCAGCTCTGTCCTTCTACCAGCTCTCCTCAGCTTCATCCAGAGAAGTGTGATAGTGTCTGTAGTGGTCAGTGAAGTGGGTCAGTGTGGACCAAACAGGACGGTGGTGATGTTCCATGATCAATAAATCCAGAACTGAAAGTGTCCAGTTGTTGAAATAAAGGCCAGCGCGGTGTCTGTATATCCAACACTGTTTCTTTTCTTCCATAAAGTAATTATATAGAAATGAAACAAATACCCAAAAACTGAAAAATTTTGTTCCAGAATGTTTTTCATTGCGGCACTTTAGACGACGATGTGGCTTTTCCTTTTTTCCACTTGTAGTGCCGTTGGGGGAGGGAGGGTGAGTCTGGGGAGGGCTGTTTTGGGAGGGGTGGGGGTTTGGGGCAGCTGTTTAAGTGCGGGGGAGGGGTATTGTTGTGGAGGTCAGAGGGTGAAGTAGAGTTTCTCTTTACTGCAGTCTGGACCAAAACTGAGAAATATCCGGTTCTCCTCCGGGGACCTGGACCGGGACAGACACTCCGGGGGAGATAAGTCCTAAACGCAAACAGAATGTCCATCAGTCAGACAGTCTTGTCCACCTTGTCCATTACAACCGCCTCAACACTCTCCATTCTGCACTGAGAAACCAACTGAGGATCTTTTACAGTTCTCTACACTCTCAAACATACAGGTGCCACAAAGAGGTCTTTGTGCGATGTCTTACAAGAACCGCTTTTGGTTCCATGAAGAACATTTCAATGTATATTTTTTTTATAGTACCATTTTTATAAATCTATGGAGGGTATAAAGGCAGAACAAAGACATGAGAGTCATATGGTGTCAACCTGTCGGTACCTATCAGTGTGATTTAGTTAAACAGTCTTAAATCTAAGGCTTGTTACATACTAAGGCTATTATTCAGTAACTACAGGGACTTGAGTGCAAACTGGTTGAGCTACTCCTAGGTAATAGAAGTGTGTAATAAAACTTTGGGCCCACCACCGGCTAGCCATTTAAGCCATTTAAGGGGTTAAGCAATCTTGGAACTCACCATCATGATACCCAAACATTGACCCAGCGCTAGTGTGATCAGAGCTGTAACGGCTAAACGATTGTAAAAATGTGGTTATATCTGTATATTATATAAAACACAGTCATTAATTAATATTTTGTTAAATATAAATGTGCTGTTTACAGATAAATGATCAAATTTATAGCTATCATTCCTGCTGCAGCTCTGCTAAGCTTATTTGCCTGTATGTATAAAGTCGAAATATATATGTAATGAAATACATTAAACGGTATTTCAGTACTTAAATAAAGGAAGCGAATAGACTAAAAGGAGAGAAAGTGCATCTGCGCACACAGAGCAAGTTCAGAAATAAATACAGAATAAATACAAAGTTCATAAAGACTGCAGTGTTTAAAAGCCTTTCTGTGACATCACCAAACCTGTACAGTCTCTGCCTACCTGTAGAGGTCGTACCAGAAGTTGCCATTGATTGGCTGTTCATGTGTGCCTGCATATGAGGGGGTGTGTACGTGTCGTAGCTCCGCCCATTCACTGACGGACTGGTGGGCAGCATGCAGGAGTATGAGGATGTCTGGCTGGGCTATAAAGAGAGAATATATGAAAATATGTGATTTTATATATTTACGGTGATGAGACGCTAAAGTGTCGTTCTTTCGGCACTGACAGAACGTTGCTTTCAGTGAGGAGCATAAATGAAGCTGAGCTTGGTGATGGAATCATTAAGTTTTGAATATGTTTTGCGTTTATTATTGACGAGCGCGGGGGGCCAACAGTACATCACACACAGTATATAAAAAGAGGCTGTAATTACTTGCATAGGGAGGTTATTAGCCATGGTAAAGGAGGGCATGGGCGGCAGGCCGCTGTAGGAGTTCGTCAGAGCCGTGTCAGACCTGGCCAGCATAGAGCCTGACGTAAAGGACACTGCAAGAGACAAAACAAACCTGCATTGCTTCACCAAAATCTGCCAAGAAAAACACTTTCTTCACAAACTGTAGCTCTGTCGGGACTTAGCTGAGCACAGATGCTTCAGATTTGTAATTAAAGCACAGAACAGACCATAATGTCAAAGAGGATAGGTCACAGATATGTTGCTTGTTTTTTTTTTTTGACTGAATCTCTGACCTGATCGGTCCAAGAGCAGGATCTGTTGCAGATGAAGTTTTTTCACCTGGATTGAAACAGAATAAGCTGCTGTGTGTGGAATTCAGCAGCTCAGTGTGCAGAGTGAAGATCGCTAAACGCCACGCCCCGCCCCGAGTAGGCATCAATGTCTGAGCCATATATTTATAGTGTGGGGTGTAACCAGGTGTGTTTTAGTGTATAGAATGTATTTGGGTTTACTGGGTGTTACCAGGTGTGTTTGGGTTTATCAGGTTTGTTTGGGTTTACCAACTGTTACTGGGTGTTAAGGGTATATCTGGGCTTACTGGATGTTACTGATTGTGTTTGGGCTTACTGGGTGTTACCAGGTACGTTTGGGCTTTCTGAATGTTATTGAGTGTTACTGGGAGTAACAGGGTAAGTATGGGATACTGAGTGTTACTGGGTGTGTATGGGATACTGAGTATTACCAGGTGTTACTGGGAGTTACTGAGTGTTACTGGGTGAGTTTGAGACACTGAGTGTTACCAGATGCTACTGTGTTACTGTTTGGGCTTACCGGGTGTGCTGGACTGAGGGATTTGCTGATAAACGCTGGTGCTGAAGCTGCTGCTGATTGGAATGTGGCTGGAGTTGTTGCTGGCTTGCCGGCGCTGATTCCTCAGCTTTTCTTCTCTTCTCCATTTAGCTCGTCTGTTTGAGAACCAAACCTATACACCATGCAGGAACAGTCACACCTGAATTCCTGTGAACAGGTGTGTTTCTTTCTTTGTTTTTTTTTTTACCTGTATTCTTGCCTCTGGGAGGTCGATTTTGGCTGCAAGTCTTTCCCTTGCGAAAACGTCAGGATAGTGAGTTCTTTCAAATTCTGGAATTGATGTAAAAGCAGGAGACGATATTCAGTGAACTTCAGTTTGATTCTGAAGGTGCAGCAAATGCAGTTTTATTTCTTACCTTTCTCCAGCGCCTCTATCTGTTCCTGAGTGAAGGACGTGCGGTTTCTTTGTAATTTTCTTTTCAGCTGCAGCCGCATCTGCGTCTCATCTGAGTCTTCTCCGTTGGAGCTGATGGAGTTTGTGTTTTCACCACCGTTATCCTGCTGCTGGCAACCATCTGCAAGAAAATGTATTAAAGACATTATTATCAGTGTTTCATAATCCCACTCCTGATGACCCACTGCCCTACGCACTTCCAACTACTCGCCCAGTCAACCAGATCTAGCTTATCAGCAGATTATAGAGATCTTCATGAGCTGGATATGGTGTGTTTGGTTATCGGCTACAATTTTGCAACATTTCCCCAAAATCCATAGCATGGAAATGCAAAAATATCACTTTTTAATGATCAGTGGCTCCTGAGAACATTTTAAAAAGGAAAAAAAAATACATCAACAAAATCAGTGCTTGGTTCTCTGAAGGTTAAAGATCTAGATTGTCTCCCTACACGCAGAAGGAGTCTTCAGTGCTGAGGACTTTATGGGTGTCCAGGGGCCTATTGAGGTGACCACCAGCACTTGAATAGAAGGAGCTGCTTTTCATACGACACAAAGCACCAGAAAAAGGGGAACCATTAAACCCCACGGTCAGAGAAACGCTGCCAGGACCTGCTGCAAAGCTGGAATTCTCCTGGTGACACAATTGGAAAGGAACAACAAAAGGATTCTCTGGAGACGTGCAGAGCTCACCATTGTGTAACACAAGAATCTGGTCAACAGGCCTTTCAGCTCACTGTGTTAACCTCTACTCACCACTGTCATTAATCAAAGTACTCTCGGCTGGAACCATTAAGCTCCTGTTAGGATTTATATCTCTCACCAGAGACACTCCGCTCTCCAGCAGGATCTGACTCTCGGCTTCAAGAAGAAGATTCCATCTTTACATTAAAAGGCCCTAAATGGCTAATTTAAGTTTTAAAATTTATGATTAGTTAAGGATTGTTTGGATGTTTGGTAGCTGATTAGATGGGGATTTTAATAATTTCTCACAGCCTGCCCAGTTTCATTTTCAGCAAACTGCTGTACTGCTTGATAATAATAAGAGAATTTATTATTTACCCAAAAAGGTTGGTGTGTTTAAGTGTGTTCAGGGGTAGTCTGTCTGCCTTGACTGTGATGACTTTGGTAAGAGGAAATAATGAGCTGTCAGTCCTTCAGAGCTCGAGAGGCAAGAAGTCGGTGGTGTTTCTATATCTTTTGTACTCATTTGTTAGTACAGTGTGTATAAAAGGAATTAATAAAGTGGATTAATAAAGCAGATAAACAAAACTAATTAATAAAACTGATTCATAAAGTGGATTCATAAAGCAGATGGACAGAGTGGATGGTCATGCTCATGTTGGCCCATGCAGAGAGGCTAGTAAGATAAATTAATTTCAGATTAATAAGCAGTTAATAGTGAGTTCAGTGATCATTAATCATAGCAGTGAATTTTCCCATCACTCACTCCTACACAAAGCTTTGTTAATAAAAAGTTACTGTAGTATTTAATTATATTACTTACATTATTTTGACATTAACTGTTAATTCCTACTGTAGGACTCACTTCAGTGGACAATGAAATGTATGTAATTACAGATGAAGTGTTCCAGATCTTTTTCCCTTTTTACACATTTGTATATTTATTATTAGTAGTATTGATAATGTAGTTATTAAGAACAATAACTAAAACAGCTAATAGTCTTTTATTACAACTGCTTCCTTCAGTGATGGGCTGATGGTAATGAGGTGTAATTATTTGTAATAATGAATTACATTTGATTAGGTTTTATTCTTAGTCATGATTAGACTCACCTTGGTTTGGTTGCCCAGGCGCTGCTGGGTACCACCCGGGCCGTGCCCCCCACGCACCAGGCTGACCGTTCAGCATCCTCAGCTTATCGTACACACCATCTGCCCCCATCTGCTGCTTTTCACTGGCCAGGTTACGCAGGACACGGTTTATAGAGGAAACCTGAGGAAAATGGGCAAGAGAGAGAGAGTCAGGAGAGAGTATGAACACACTGCAGAACAAAACACATCTAAACCAGCTTTAAATCAGTACTAAATCAGTTCTAATCCAGCTCTGAACATGTACTAATCCAGCTCTGAACATGTACTAAACCAGTTCTAATCCAGTTTTGAACCTGTACTAATCCAGCTCTGAACCTGTACAAAACCAGTTCTAATCCAGGTCTGAACCTGTACTAACCCAGCTCTGAACCTGTACTAAACCAGTTCTAATCCAGCTCTGGACCTGTACCAATCCAGCTCTAAAATCTAGAACTGAAGCTGAGGTGAACAGGGAGTTTAGTTAAAACTTTGCTCTCACAGCTCTGACACAGTTTACTGTTCTATTCAGTTCAGTTTGATACAGTTCTGTTCAGCTCAGTTTGATTCAGTTCTATTCAGTTCAGTTTGATTCAGTTCTGTTTAGTTCTGTCCAGTTCTGTTTGATTCAGTTCTGTTTAGTTCTGTCCAGTTCAGTTTGATTTAGTTCTGTTCAGTTCAGTTTAATTCAGTTCTGTTCAGTTCACTCCAGTTCAGTTTGGTTTGGTTCAGTTAATTTCAGCTAATTTCAGTTTAATTTAGTTCAGTTCAGTTCAATCAGCCTTTATTTAAACTCGGAGTGCTGAGGGTGACCCATGTGTGCAGTGTAGTCGAGCAACAATGGACTGAAAAGAGTTATAAACGTGAAATAAACAGGAAAAACAGAAGAGCATATCAATCCAATAAAAAAGACAAACTAAAATGTAAACTAGTAATTTCAGTTTAATTCAGTTCAGTTTTTAGTTTGGTTCAGTTTCGTTTCATTTCAGTTCCTTTTGGTTTGGTTTGGTTCAGTTGCGTTCAATTCAGTTCAGTTTATTTTGGTTCAGTTTGGTTCTGTTCAGTTCTATTTGGTGGGTGTAAATGCAGAGTGAGTCAGAGTGTGGGGCATAGTCCAGTTACTTCCTCTGATAACCACAGAGCTTACACAGTTTCATGATGGATACTGAATTATTTATTGATAGTAAATTATTCATAGTAGATACTGAATATCTATTATTATTATTATTATTATTATTATTATTATTATTAATAATAATAATAATAATAATTTGAAGATGAGTAGTGCAGTTTATGCTGGTGATGCTGTAACAAACTGTAAGTTATGAAATAGAGTATAAAAGCTGTATGAGAAATTAAACTGAAGTGTTGTGTTAAGAAAGCTGTAATAGACACTCACGCTGGGGATGTTGTCGGTGGTGCAGATTCCTTCACTCAGCAGTCTGTCACGGATCTCCCAGGCGAAGATGGATGGACACTCACGTTTATACTGAGCGATTTTACTGACCACTTCAGGCGTCGCTACCCTCGGCTTACTGCCCCCGATGGCCCGCGGCCGGATAGAGCCGGTTTCATAATACCTGCCCAAGATCTTACTGACACAGCCGTTCGACACCTGCAAACAGACACACACACACATGCACACTCAGGTTAATTAATCAAGCCTTTAATAAACTGTTTTCTTTCTGTGAAACTGTTTTCAGAACAGCTGCATAATTCAGATAAGATGAGACTGATTTTTCTTTCTGCTCTGTGACTGATTCTTTAGTCTGATGAGCTGTTATAACTATTTTTGGTAAAGTTACCATCATAATTAGGCCTTGTTTTGTCTGTTGGAGTTTAAAATGAAAGAGAAAATAATTTTTACAGTGTGTGAGTTTAAACAGCCTGAAGTTTTATAATCATTACTGGGCAAATTCTTTAAAGCTGCACTCTGTAAGATGTTTTAGTTAAAATTAAAAGAAGTTTCATTACTGAGGAAGAAATAATCATTTAAAAGTCAGAGGCATCACGTTTTTCACACGATGAATGAAGATTATACTAGATTACACTTCATTATACTAATGAAGACATGACGATAATAGTAGGTAATTCACTCACATCATTTTATTTGCAGTTACACATTCCCTCCAGAGAGGTCCAAATCCCCAAAATTTACGTAGTACAGTTTTAGTCACAGTGGTGGACAAAGTGCACAAACCCAGAACTTCAGTGAAGGCGGTGATACTGTTCGTAAAATATAACTCCAGTAAAGTGTGAGTGAATGTTTTGTAGTTGTACTTTGAGTAAAAGCGGGAAGGTCTTACTATTAAATATACTTAAGTATTAAAAGTAAAACCCAGGCTCTATCAGCACTCTGATTTAAAATGACCCCACAGGGCATTATAGCATTTTCTTTAATTCTGAAAGCTTGTGAGAGACTACGATTGGATGCTCAGTATTTAGAGGCGGGGTTTAGTGAAAGGTGAGCTATGATTGGTTTTAATTGATTTGTAAAAGTGAATCATATTTTTTCATATGTTTTAGAAAATCTAGTTTTTACTCCACAATAATCTGCAGAAAGTAGTGGAATTTTAAGTAGGATATTTTACTGTGGAATGAAATTTTAACTTCTGAAGCTAAAAGTCTTCAAAGAATTCTAATATTTTAATAAAGCACAGATGTGTGAAAAAATGACTGAATTACACAAGTACACATGCTTTCTTACTGTCCACCACTAATTAGCCATGTGAATGTCATTAATAATAATAATAATAATAATAATAATAATAATAAAGTTGTACCTGCAGAATGCGGGAGATGTCGCAGGGTCGGGCTCCGCTGTGTGCAAGCTCTACGATCTTCTGCCTCGTCGTGTCCGGCAGTGGCCGGCCATTTACAAACACACCGCCGAGCTGGTTCACCCCACTGTGACCTACATACACACACACACAGTCAGTCTCTGAAGCTGCTTCAGGATTCAAACAGCTAATGTTGACACACAGGACACACTTTCAGTGAGATGGTCAGTACATTTGTTTTGCTTCTGGTTAGTCTGTCCTGAAACCTCATCTGACCGGCCTTCACTCAAATCAATGAAGTGTCAACTCAGCTTTAAAAACATTTGAGGTGCAGAATTCCATTCACATTCCAGCCAGAATTCCTTTCATATTCTAGCCAGAATTCTCTTCATATCCCAAATGGAATTCTCTTCACATTTCAGCCAGAATCCCTTTCACATTCCAGTTGGTGTTCCATTCATATTTCAGTAGGAACTCCATTTATATTCCAGACATAAAATTCATTTAAATTCCAGCCAGAATTCCCATTATATTTTGGTTGGAATTCTATCCATTTTCCAGCCAGAATTTCCTTCATTTTCCATATTATTAATTATACAAATGCAAACACAAAAATGCCACAAAACTGTAATAAAAGCTTTGAACAGAAACTCAGTCCATAAAACAGAACACTCGCACACTTCAAATCAGCCTTCAGGAAAAATACAAACTCCAGATTACAGCATCCAGCCAGAGTCCAGAGAGGCACTCTGACCTGGTGTTCTGAACCACCCGCAGTGCGTGTGTGTGTTCTCTTTGCACTCGCTGGAGTGTGTGCATGTGTGTGTGTGTTGTTGTTAGAGCTCCTTTAGAATAAAAGTGTTCAGAGCGGAATGCAGCTCAGAGGGAATATTCTGGATCCTGTCTGTGGAATTCTGTCAACTTTGATGTTAATTTTTGAAAATGGCTGAAAGTCAGCGCTGATGATTCACAGCGAAAAAATGAACAGATCAGACAGTGTGTGTGTGTGTGTGTGTGTGTGTGTGTGTGTGTGTGTGTGTCCCTCAGCCCTAAATGGGTCGTCCACTCTCATCTTCTCTCTCAGTTGACAGTACAGGAGAGTGTGTGTCTCAGTGCACAGCATATTAAAACTGACACACTTCTTTTGTCTTGTGCTTTTCTTTTTTTCTGTCCTTCGTATTTGGCAACAAATTTCCAGCATGCACTACACACACACACACATTTGAACAAACCAGCTTTCAGAGTCTCACACCAACTAACTTCCCAAAATAAATCTGACATTAAACTGCCCTCCGCTTGGCTCCTCTGTGACTCTGAACATTAATTATTAGAATTCATTACATTATTCTGCCAACACCTCAGCATGAGGAACACAAAGGAAAACTAGAATCAAGGGATAAAAGGGAAACCTTTCACCGTCAATTCACATTACTCTCGTGTTTATCAGCAGTAGAAAAAAATTGTCAGTGTTTTACATCACTGCAGTAAAATATTAATAAAATAAATGAGACCAAATCCAACAGTACAGAACCCTGTGCTTAACACATCAAAAAACACTTTAAACACTTTTAAACACATTTTAACACTCTTAAATGAGTCCTGATCGCTGTGCAGTGTGGAACGCTGAGCTGTTGTCAGCGGTTCGGTTCTCCAGCTTTAGTTCACACAGAACTGTAGTCATTCAACAACAACTGAAGCTGAAACATTACAGCCTCTCTAATCCAGCATGTGTGAAACTATGTAATGTGCTTCAGTACACACACACACTGTGCTAATCTCTGTTCATTTGTAAAACGAGATGAAAAACACAATCTGAAGAAAAAGCAAAAAACAGAAGCTACATGATGTACAGAGATTCAGTTCTGCTTTAAACTCTTCTTTAACTCCATAAACACACACTACGAATAAGAACTCCATTCTGTTCTGCTCTGAGCTCATTACTGTGTGTGTGTGTGTCTGTGTGTGTGTGTCTGTGTGTGTACATTTACTGTTTTGCATCATGGAGGCGACTCCGGATTCCCACGAAGTCTGATTATGCAACTCTGCATTAAAGAGAGAAATGAGAATAATCGGGACATTTATTGATGTGTTTATCGGCTCTAAACCCATTACTACAACACAACATCAACCTACATCATCTCTCTAAACACACAAACACAACATCCCTCTAAACATAACAATAAAATGTCCCTCCTACACAACACAACATGACCTACCTCTAAACACACCATCACAACAAAATGTCCTTCTATACACACCAACATAACACAGCGTTTCTCTAAACACACCAACAGAACACAAGATCCTTCTAAACACACATTAGTAGGGCTTCATGAACTGAAATCAGAACATTAGATGAGGGTAAATGCTGATCTCCACAGCACTTTGGCCTGGAAGGTCCCCGTTTGACATGAATGCTCTAAACACACTTACAAAACACAATGTCCCTCTAAACATACCAACACAACACAAAGTTCATCTAAACACACCAACACAACACAAAGTCCCTCTAAACACACAAACAACACAATGTCCCTCTAAACACACTTACAAACACTTGCCTTTAAATACACATAATATCCCTCTTATCCGCCAACACAACACAGTGTCCCCACCAAACACATGAACACAACACCTCTTTAAAAACTCCAACACGGCATGTCCCTGGTTTAGATCAGTTTGGTGTGGATGGGGTTTGGTTTAGATTAGTTTCATGTGGATGGGGTTTGGTTTAAATCAGTTTGGTGTGGATGGGGTTTGGCGTGGATAGGGTTTGGTTTAGATCAGTTTGGTGTGGATGGGGTTTGGTTTAGATCATTTTGATGTGGATGGGGTTGGTGTGGATGGGGTTTGGTGTGGATGGGGTTTGGTTTTAGATTAGTTTGGTGTGGATACGGTTTGGTGTTGGTATTTGCTGTTTGTTCTGGGTGGAGTTTGGTGTAGATCGGTTTGGTGTGGATGGAGTTTGGTGTGGATGGGATGTGGTTTAGATCAGTTTGGTGTGGATGGAGTTTGGTGTGGATGGGGTTTGGTTTAGATCAGTTTAGTGCGGATGGGGTTTGGTTTAGATCAATTTGGCGTGGATATGGTTTGGTGTGGGTGGGTTTTGGTTTAGATCAGTTTGGTGTGGATGGGGTTTGGTTTAGATCATTTTGGTGTGAATATTGTTTGGTGTAGATGGGGTTGGTGTGGATGGGGTTTGGTTTAGGTCAATTTGGTGTGGATGGGATTTGTTTTAGATCAGTTTGGTGTGGATATGGTTTGGTGTTGGTGTTTGCTGTTTGTTCTGAGTGGAGTTTGGTGTAGATCAGTTTGATGTGGATGGAGTTTGGTGTGGATGGGGTGTGGTTTAGATCAGTTTGGTGTGGATGGGGTTTGGTGTGGATGGGGTTTGGTTTAGATTAGTTTGGTGTGCATGGGGTTTGGTTTAGATCAATTTGGTGTGAATATGGTTTGATGTGGGTGGGTTTTGCTTTAGATCAGTTTGGGGTTGGTGGGGTTTGGTGTGGATGGGGTTTGGTTTGGATCAGTTTGGTGTGAATACAGTTTGGTGTTTGCTGTTTGTTCTGGGTGGGGTTTGGTGTAGATCAGTTTGGTGTGGATGGAGTTTGGTTTATAGAGTTTGGTGTGGATGGGGCTTGGTGTTGATGGTTTGTTGTAGATGGCTTTGGTGTTTATTCTGGGTGGGGTTTGGTGTGGATAGGGTTTGGTATGGAAATAGTTTGGTGTGGATGGATTTGGTGTTGGTAGGGTTTAGTGTAGATGGGGCTTGGTGGGAATAGGGTTTGGTAATGGTACAGTTTGGTGAGGATGGTGTTTGGTGTAGGTGCTTTTGTTGTTGGTGAAGATTTGTGTGGATGGTTCACATCAGGACAATAGATTCCAGGGACCTCGATTGGAGTCAAACAAAGACATTGCAGTGAAGAATTCACTAACACCCTAAACACACCAACACCATAAACACAACACCACAAAACACTAACACCCTAAACACACCAACACCCTAATCACACCAACACCATAATCACAACACCATAAATACATCCTGAACACACCAGCACTATAAACACAACAATGCCATAAATGCACTAACACCATAAACACATCAACAGCATAAACATAACAACCTCATAGACACCAACACCCTAAACACACTAACACCATAAACACACCAACACCATAAACACTTACTCCTTAAACGCAACACCATAAGTGCACCAACACCATAAACACTTACTCCCTAAGCACAACACCCAAAACACATCAACACTATCAACATTCCAATGCCACAAACACACCAACACCACAAATACACAACACCCTAAACACACTAATTATAATCACACCAACACACTAAACACACCAACACCATAAACACACTAACACCATAAACACACCAATGCAATACATACACTAACAAATAAAAATACCCAGAATACACTAATAAACACACTAACACCCTAAACACACTGACACCCTAAACACACTAACCAACACCATAAACACACTAAGACCCTAAATACACTAATGCAATAAACGCACAGACACCCTAGAACAACTGTCACAATACAAACGATAATACCATAAACGCTAACATTAAAACACTGACATAATGAACACACTAACATTAAAACACTAACATAATGAACACAATAACATTAAAACACTGACGCAATGAACACACTAAGGCCATAAATATACTGAAGCCACATAGACTAATACAGTGAACTCTAACATCATAAACGCACTAAGACCTTAAACACACTAACACTCTAAACACACTCTGGTCAGTCTAAAGGGAAATGTGTCCGCTGCGGTGAGGAGGGTGAGGACAGTAAGAACAATGAGGATGTCATTGGCTTTACTGTGAGGTTAAATTTTACTAAAGCCGATAATTAATTATTGTAACTAATGCATTCATTTATTTATTGGACTGTATGTTTATTTAATTTAAAGCACATTGCTCAGAAGAAAAATAAAAATATGTGTTTATTTTAAAGACACTGCAGTAAACAAAAAAGACAGAAAGCAGGTCAGTGAGTAAATAAATAATCAAATAAAAAAACATTTTACAGTCGACAGATTTATGATTGTAATTTTAATAAAAATGTGCAGGGTTAACAAAATCAGTTTTAAAGATTGTAAGTGTAAAAACAGTTTTGATCATTTTAAGAAACTGATATCCTGGAAGAATGTATCTTCTTATGAATATTTAACTTTGAATAAAAATTACAGCCTGAGAAAACGTTACAATGGCCAAAATATTTTATAGATTAGAGTCTGTAAATGTTTTACTTTGCAGTAATTACAGAGAAATTTACAGCGTTTGAAATGATGAACTGTTTTTAAAACTGTTAATTTTTTAAAACTTTAGAAATAATTTATATCGTTAAGAATCATTTCTAGCTCTAAAAGTACATGAGGAATATTTAATGTCTTAAAATAATAATTTATAGTATTTCAGAATGTTTATAGCTTTTAGAGGATGCCGATCTCAGTACAGAGTGTTTTTTGTGTTTATGATGGTTTATTTAAGGCGGTTTAGTTAATCCGGACTCTAATCTGCATTTCTGTAATCTCTCCATTAATCTTAGTGTTTCCTCATTAGCTGTATTCATATGGGCGCGGCGGGTAGTCCAGCATTAACACGCTAAAGCGACTCGTTCAGCGCTGTTAATCCGCTCGCGCTCTGCGGACACTCTGACACTGTAACTTTGGGGAAAATAAAACGGATAAATTAATCACGGTTTTATCAGAGAAAAGTTAATTTTTACATTTATCAGAACTGCATTCAAAATCTGTTTACATGAAAATAAAAATTCTCTAATTGGAAAATTTCCTTCACTCTAAAAACAGAAGAGTTAAAACAGCAGCTCGTTCTGTCTGTAAACTCGTTCAGTCTGAGTTACTTTTAACGCAGATTAACGCAGAATGTGTTCAATCAGAAAACAATCCGACACAAACACTTCAGACGGTCACACAGGCACGCTTGAGGTAATTTAACACAGAGTGTGAAATGTTTTCGTCGTAATAATAATAATAATAATAATAATAATAATAATTTAGGTTTTAATCTCAATACTGTAATGTTTATATTAAACATAATAAATAAAATTTGACCGAACTTTTTTCCAGCGCGCACTGACTGATCGGATTAGAGAGGTTTGAGCATAAAGAGGTTTAACATGTTTCTAGAATCATACGCGTGCGGCCACTTCAGAAGCAAAACCACTCCAAAGCCCTCACACTCACCCTGATCATAATAATAATAATAATAATAATAATAATAATAATAATAATAATAATAGTAACTGTTGTTTTAAACAAACTCACCTTTTTGCGGCATCGCGAGCTCCGCGCTGGAGGAGCAAAAACCTGCAGAAACACACATACACACTCACACACACACACTGAAAGAGAGAGAGAGATTGAAACTGAGAAGAGCTGACGAGAGAGAGAGAGAGAGAGAGAGAGAGAGAGAGAGAGGTGTAGAGTCAGTGCTCTCCGTTGATTGGTGATGGCTGTGTCTCCTCTCTGCCCCACTCAGGCACTAACAGCAGCGCGCCCGTGAGAGAGACAGAGAGAGTGCGCGCGCGGTGCTGTTAGTGTCTGAGTGTGTGTCATTATTGTTCCTCTTTTAAAAAGGTTCTTTAAAGAACCACAGATTTTACATCATTAACTGCAAAGACCCAGCTCTGCATTCAGAGGGTTTTTTGAGTTCTATTGGTTCTTTACGTAATCTCGTAATCTCACTAAAGAACCCACACGAAAAATATTTAAAGCGCAGAATGAACTGATATACAGGAACATCCAGCCTTTACTGTCAAACAAACAAACAAACTTGTCTACTGAGAGGGAGAGACATGTGTGTGTGTGTGTGTGTGTGTGTGTGTGTGTGTCTGTGTGTGTGTGTGTAGAGTGAATGGAGTGTGTGTTTGTGTGTAATGTCTGTGTGGAGTGTTTGTATGTGTGTGTGTGTGTGTTGTGTATGAAGTAGTAAATACGGCGTCTACCGTAACACCAAACACTTCACACGCTTCACACACTTCTGTAATCTGTTCTTTGTAATCTGTTTTCTGTAATCTGAACTCTGGACTCTTTACTCTGTACTTTCTAATCTATACTCTGTAATCCGCAATCTGTACTCTGTTATCTGTAATCTGTACCCTGTACTTTCTAATCTATACTCTGTAATCCGCAATCTCTACTCTGTAATCTGTAATCTGTACCCTGTACTTTCTAATCTATACTTTGTAATCCGTACTCTGTGACCTGGAATCTGTTAATCTGTGATGGTCCTGCAGGTGTTTTTATAATTCAGAAAAGGCTGCAAATCCTAAACTGAGAGGACCTCCGTGATGTCCAGCAGGTCAGAGCATCTGCCCTAAAGCTGCTCTGAAGCTCCAGAGAAAGTTTTGCTGCCCCTCCTACAGGGGGAGGGGTAATTAGTCCATCTGAATTAGCGATTAGCAGCTGCTAATTCTGAACACTAATCTCACCACATTTAGCCCTGGGGCTGAGTGAGGGGGAATTTGTCCCCCAGAAAAAAAGTTTAAAGGGGAAGGAGAGAGAGAGAGAGAGAGAGAGAGAGAGAGAGAGAGAGAGAGAGATGGACTCTGATGCTGATTGTGCACACAAACAAACCAAACTGTTTTACTTTTTTAATTTTTTTTTGGTAGAAATTCAGTTATTTTTCTTCTGTGCTGTGTGTACGTGTTTGTGTGTGTGTATGTATGTGTGTGTAAATGTGTGTGTGTATGTACGTGTGTTTTTGTTCATATATGTGTGTGTAAATGTGTGCGTGTGTGTGTGTGTGTGTATATGTGTGTGTACATGTGTGTGAGTG